ACCATGTTTCTGTGATAGCTACTATATTGTAGTTATTCCGATGTACAATAGCTTCTAGTTCCTCCTGCTTATTGCCCATATCATCAATCTGAGTTTTCCCTATACAAATTATGTTTTATGCCTACAGACATCTGAGTATATTTCATAATTTTCAAGTGAAAGACAAAAACACAGGCAACACCAAAGTTATAAGGAATATAGCTCAAGAGGCAGAACATTATTCGGCAAGGCACTTGAGAGGCACCTGCAGCCAGCAAGGCAAGCACTGTAAGCGGGGTGTCCACGTTTCAGTGGTGACAGCCTTTCCACATGGGTCAATGACACTGTTTTCAAGTGGCAGGCAAGGATCAGCTCTAGCACACATTCAGTCAGAGATCAACAGGAGCTAGTGCAAAAATCTTGTGTTTCATAGGAGTGTCAGCTTTAACCATGGTGCAGTGCCTGGAGAGGTAGCTCTATACTGAACACCCCTGCCAAGCTTGCTAGCTTCTTTGCTGTGTAGTTCATGGATGTGAACAGCTCTTTATCTGCAAAGGTCATGGCTGGGAGAAAGCTGCTACTATCAGAAAAAGTCTTGTAGCTGAAAGACTTGTCTTGAAGCAAGTCCTGAACTAGAGATCCTTGCCCTATGCAATATTTTCAGTATAAAGCTCTATTTGTACACAGTACTAAAATATATGTGTTGCTTTAGAGCTTGTTTATAACTGCTCAAAAAGTTCATATTTAAATATGAATTAACTTTATTATATAGTCTAATAAGTTGTTCTTTAGCCGGTTTGCAAATTGGAACAGAATTTGCTGAAAATGCACCTAACAACAACAACAAAAAAGAAGCTAGTACTTTACCCTTTCTAAATATTTTCAGCAGCCATAATTAAAACTAGTACTCTATCCTAAATAGCTAGTGAATTCAGCTTTTACAGTAACTTAAATATATAGGTGCCAAGCATTTGCTAACTAAAAGTTCTATTACAATGCAATCAACAAGAGATGGAAAATTGTACTTAAAAGAAAGAAGTGCATTGTTTGTTATTTTTCCAAGAGATGAGTGAAGGCTTTTTTTTTTTTCCCAGCTACAAAATTTCAATTAGAACAGCATAATTTTGTTCCGGTTTCTCATCAAGAGCAATCCATCCCTTATGGCATCCATAAAAACACCAAGTGCAACTGAGCTAGAACCAAAACCTGAGATTCACGAGTTTAGATTCAATTCTTAGAAATAAATGAACAGATAATTCTATCTGCATTTTGATTAAATGTAGCTTTTACTAATTGATAATTTTATAATGACCTGAAATAAACTGCAATATTCAAACATTTCTAAGCTTTGGTGAAGAAAAAATTTGAATTTGACTCGAGTGTCAACTCAACCCACACTAAACATGACCAATTGTAATGCTATATTGTGAAGAGTCATATTTCAGCTGAGAATTAATGACAATAATGAGCAAATCCTTAATTTTTAAAAAATGTTTTGTTTTTTCTTGGTAAGAAAATGAAGGAACCGAAGCAGGAGATATAAACTATGTAAATAGAGTAATCTATTATGCATGATCTGTTGTTGAATCTTAAATTTCAAAATTTTTTGCTTTTAAAGAACAAATAAGAGCACATGATAAAGCAAATTTGTCATATGAGATAGTTCTAACAGTTATTTCTCATTGGTATTCAAATTTACTGGTTTTTTTCCCCTTTTCTTGATTTACTTCATTTTTTTTTTGTCTGGACTGTTGCCAACAGTAAGAACATCTCCCTGCTTCAGACACAGAACAGCTGCTAAGGAGAAAAAGTTTAATGAACTGTCTGCATTGTTTCCCTCTGCTTGCTACAGTGGACAAGGAGCTTAAAGGAAAGTTGCAGCCATACTAGCAACTAATAGCAACTCTGCCCTTTTCCTGTGGATTACAGCTTTATATTTTAGGGTAAAGAATTTATTTTAGAAATTACATGTCAAATTTTCAATTTCTTAAGGACTAAGTTGTAGTTTCAAAAGTGTGCATCCGGCCTGCACAATGAGGTGCTGCATTAGGACATGTGGGACAGGCTGTGGTGGGTCTGCACAGATCAGAGCAGTGCCACATAGAGGCACTTGCTGAGCCCTGACATCAGAACTAACCTCGCTGCACCAGCCATCACTGGGCAGATGCTCTGCTGTACACATAGCCTACAACACAGCTGACTGTAAAGTAGTATGTCTGACTTGTAAAATGCTGTTCATCTGACAGCTTTAGATTAAACACTTTTTTATAGATCAGCTAAGGAACAAAAATCCTTTCTTGTTTCCTGACCTTTTCAGGGGCTTTTAGGCTTCTTACAAACATAAGAGAAAACCAAGCAGCAGTCTCTTGACTGTTCAGCAGTCGGACAGATGGGAAGAGCTTAAATCCACACTACCTGAACTAGTGAAACAAGATTAGAAATTTGATTCGGCATTGCCATACTGAATTTTTATAGAAATTTTAGAAGTGACAAAGGAGCCTAAACTGAGTGACATCTGAGATGCCCAAATTTCTCAGAGACATCCTCCCAGGTTGACAGATAGGAACAGGACCAACAGCAGACCTGCAACCTTCTGCAGCAGTGGCTGGAGGCCAGGCACCATAAATGAGGCCGTTCAGAAGAGAACTAGATGCCTATGCTAGGGCACCAAATCACTCCCTGAGAAATGATGCTTAATGTTCTGTCAACAGTTATTTAAATTCCTTCTGAATGGGTTATGCCTTTTCTGAGAGAAAAAATATAACAGAATCTTTTTCTAAAACTGTGTGGCATTTTAAAACCAGCATTTTATGAGTTTTGCTCCACCCATGGAAGCTTTGCTATCCAATCTATTTTTTTGAAACTTTATTGCCTCTGCTGCTACAGTTTTATTCTGTTTTCTGAAATATTAAATGGAAATTTGGATTTTTGATGGTATTACAAGCCAAAAAATGTCACAGAAGGGAAATCAACATCATTATCAGGACCTACTAGAAAAAGAAGCCATTAAATCATGAAGATGCCAAGAATACAGCAGCACAGACACCTTCGGGCATAGGATCTAGTTACTCTTTCACTGCTGTTAAAATACAAATAATATACCAATTATTATTTGTACCAATTATTATTTGCTAGAAAAATTAAAATAAGGAAATACAATCCACTGTCTCCACATTTGTTAGATATCTATTCATTCGCACATGTGTCCAAAGCACAGGGGTAAAATTCCCATGGAGTATCTGTGTTTGGCTCGAGACTGCGGGAAAAGGCTGCAAGATCCGAGTTGTCTCTCATTCAAATGCTACCTTAAAGAATATGCTGGTGATGCACTGTTCAACTTCATGAGCAGTTTGTGCAACAGCAGTCAACAGAAATAAATTACCTCTCTTAAGGGAGCAAACTATATTTTTACAACATTCTTAAAAACTGGGCAGATTTTATTCTTTGGACTTTCTCACAAAAGCACTATTAGGCATGCAAAGAAAGTTTTCACATTTAAGGCACATAAACCTCAGTAGATACATATATATGTATATATATGAGGGCAGCTCCAGTGAGTCTTAACATAACTAGCAATCTTTAGAAGTCAGGGAATATAAATTTGAACTTCTTTCAGCATAATGACTTCTCCAATTCTTCAAAATGAAAGTGAGAAGAACAAATGAGATAGTAGTTTCACAACACCTGTTTCTAAGAAGAGTTCCAACCTTTAACTATTTACCCCAAAGTAATATAAAAAAAGAGCAGTTATTAGCATTTCTATCTAATTTTCCACCTAAGGGAAAGGGTTGGCTGTGGTAGGGAAGAAAAACAATGGTATGCTTGTAAAAGAGGATTTTCCACAAAAGAACCCATATCAAATTACAGGTAGCTAAACTTTTCACTTTCCAGGCCCAGCTCATGAAGAGCAAATACTTCATATACTGTTCCCTACTGTCTTTCTCTGAAAAGGAAATTAAATTAATAAAGTTTTAGAATTATTCTTAACAAAGCAGAAGGAAAAAAAAAAAGAGCAAATGTTAATATTGATATATGAGGACTTGTTAGCTGACCACTACACACCAACTTGATGAATACTCTACGTTATATCAAATGGTATAAACAGTGACTAATCACCTTGATTACTGTTTTCTATTAGTAACTTCTGCCTGTCAGTAAACATTATACACTAGCACAGATATTTATAAATATTTTCTGCATTAGTGTTTATAGCCAAATACTGGATGAGTAAGAATGACCTTTGGAAGCTAAAGATATTATGGCTGAAGAACACAAAAAAACCCCAAAACTGCTCATCTTACAGCAGGCACTGGAAATTCAGAGGTTCAGCACTAGAGGCCACTGTAAACCAAAGAACATCGGGGAAATCATGAACACACTACAAAAATGTCCCAAGAAATCTGCTGCAATTGCAAACTACTATTTTTAATTTCAGTCATTTCTGCTAAAGAACAAAATTAAATGGCAAAGGTGAAGGAGATTTTATTCTTAAGGTCTTAAAAAAGGGTTCAGTATTTGTTTTTCTTATTTTTCTTCGGCTTGTCTTTCCTTTTTAGCTCTACAGGAAAAGTACTAACTGTTTACACAAAACCCAGACTTTTGTTTAAGTTAGAACAGGAAAGTAATGGAGGTGCATCACATGCACCAGTGAAGTATTGCCATTATAAATACAATAAAAAGCTATTGAATCTTTTACAAATGGCATGAATCTTCAGAAATATATCTTAGACTGTCTATGCCGACATACTGTTTTTATCAGATTTTGTTTCAAAATCTTTTAATAATTTACCTATAATATTAAGAGACACACAAAGAGAAAGAGAGAGAGGAAGAGGAAGAATTGCCTAAAATACTAGAGAATACTTTCTGCAATCTTGGACTTTTCTTACTGTTTTTAAGGTTTTAGTTGTTACATTGTCTTATCCATTAACTCATCCCATTCCTGTGAAAGAAATGCCTGAATATCTCCCAGTAAAGAACAAGGGGGAAGTTATTACTAAAGCACACGCTGATTTTCTGACCTGTAGAGTGTGTTGCTTGGAAGCCTTTTCTTTGAACTGATGCATCAGAAATAAAGCGGAGAAACATTTTGTTGCCAGTAGCAATAAGAGGTTCTGGTATCTTATTGCCACATAAGCGTCCCAGAATTGGTGATTTTTCACTTTCACCATCAAACACTTCCAAGTGGTCATAAGCACATTCTTGATGTTGTTCTATCTCAAATTCATTGAAGATCTGGGGGGAAAAAAAGCAAAATGACTCAATGTAGTAGTGTATTTACTGTACTTATATGGTACATATATATTTATAGTATGTTTCAGAATATAAAGCAGATGTAGTTAAGATGACAGATTTAGCATTACTGCCCCTATAAGCCCGTAGCTTTGAATAACATACTGATTTTGAGAAAGTGGACTAACAGTTAAGACAGTGAATTTTAAGAGAGCATAATCCTTCATATAGAAAGGGATTAGAATCTTTACAACCAATTAATATCCATAACAGAATATTAAATCTAAGATACTATGGCCTTTCTGTTGAATTTTCACTGTTTGTAGAGTTATTCAAGACATCACAGAATATTCAAAACAGCAAAAATCAGGAAAGTATTGGTTCCTTAAGTAGTTGAGTTTTGATTGAAACATCTGCAAAAATAACACACTCCTCCTTTTTTCTAAATTCATCTCACACCATAAAAAAGCCTTTGAGAATGACCTTTCCCCATGAATGGTTATGCATGAAAGTTATATTTTCTAATCTATTAGCAAGAGATCTATTTTTTATTATTACAACACTAACAATATCTCAACCTTCTGCTAAGATCACATTTTTGCTAGCAAAATCATTGTGAAAAATAACAAAATAATGTTGATTGTTTATTAAAAAACCCAGCAGATTCTTTTGCTGTCCTCAGCTCTCCCACGAAAATTCAAATTGCTGCCATAGTTTGAATACAAACTGAGGCCCACAAATGTTACTTTATTTCAAATCTGTGATGTTTCTTCTACACTTCAGAACACTTATCCTGGAGCTTGTAGGAATTCTCAGTCTCTTTCAGTGTTCTTGGCAGCTTGTAAGGACAAATTTGGGTCTATGAAAAATTCTAAGTTGCAAACCTCTCAGAGCAGAGACCGTCCAACTTACTTGAAAAACTTCTGGAATTTAGATTTCTCAAACTCAGATTGTCCATCCAAAGACATTTTCGAAAGTTGTATGCCATACTCTACAGAAGCTGTTAAAAGATATATGACTAATACCTGTTTTTCAAATATGGAAGACTGTCTTCCAAGATTGGACTGGTATCAACAAATTTATTTCAAGGGGACATCTAAAAGATTTCAGATAAGACTTTTTGACCTGGGCTAAATTTCAACAAGAAACCTAAAGCTCAGTATCTGGTAATATCCTCTCATGTAAACACTGAGGCATCTATATACATATACATCTTTGTGACTTTTCAGAAAAAATCGACAATTTCAGGTGAAATTCAAAATCCATTTTGTTCAGCAAAACAGCATAACCACACTAAGTATAAACGCTCCCATAAGTAGTCATAGAGCTGCCTGTTTATGGAAAAAAAACGCAAACAAAACACTAAAGGATTAAGAAGCAATAATTAAAAGGAATAAAACTGAACTGTCAAAGACTGAGCAAATATCATAATTATGCATTCTATCTCATATGCCAAAGCAAATCTGCCCTATCAAATCCCTTGTGGAATCCAGCCAGTGCGAAATGTGATTGTAATTTATATTAACAGCTGATCTAAAGGAAATATGAAGAAAAAAGTCTTTTGCCCAAAGAACTGGAATATTCAGAGTAACACTCTTGTTTTGTGAAAAGTGAAGAGTTGTATGATGCAGTGGTTCTATGTTCATTTCACAGGAAAGTTTGAGGGCTTTATTTAGGGAATGAAACTCAGAGGCAGTGAAAATAGCTGTACAGCAATTCCTCCTGATGCTTGTAAATTGTAGTCAGCCATCCTACTTTTATGACGACAAGTATGTGTTGTCATTTATACCCAAATAAAATCTGATTGATTAAAAAAAAAAAAACAAACAGAAAGCTGAGAGACTAACTGTAAGGGAGTTAGTTAAATATAGAATTGAGTCAAGCCAACTTGGTATCAATGGGAGCAATAGATGTGATCCAAGAGCAGCCTGCAGAACTTCATTTTCTTTTAGAGGAAAATTGTATCACTCTTGTTCACTTCTCTTCATTGTAAAAAAATAAAAATTAAAAAAAAGTCCCTCTCTAGGAAGCACTTTTCACCATAAACTGTAAGACACACCTTTTAATATTTGACTTATCACTGGGATTCCTAAGCCTGTTGGGGACAGCACATATTATATTCGGCCTCACAAAGAAGAACAGAAAAAGTCCTAAGTCTGGTTTGAGTCTAGCAATTGATTCTAATGATTACAAAGAGAATCAAATGAATTTGTTTTTTAAAGGAAAAGCAGATCTTAATATTAAGTTTTTTTAAAGCTTAAAATGCCTGATAATTCGAAACACCCAGAAACAATCTCAATCTTTAAAGAAATGTAGTCAGTTCCCAGCAGTGGAATAAGAGCAGGCTTAAAAGAGGAGAACTGACACAAACTTTCCTTAAAGTTGAATGTAACTGAACAGTTGCTGCCAACAGAGTTCATAAATGATTTAATAAAGATGGTAGTATAATTAAATCACACTCCGTCTTCCTGGGACAAATACTTTTGAATACCTGCCCCACCATGACTATAGTCCCCATTTGGATTGTCTCATCAGTGGGAATGGTATTCAGAAATATTACATATAGCCTCTGAACATCCAGCCCTTTCTATCTATAGCACTCAACTGAGTAGATACGTTGGTGGCACTTATGGATAGCTGCCTGAATGAGACACTTAAGTCTGTCTCTTATAAACATCCGGCTGATTAGCTTATGAAAATTGCTCTCTCTGCTACATACATTTTCAAAGCCATCTTTATCTACATATTTCATTTAAAAATTCTGAAGTGCATATTCAGTTTTTCATAGGCTTCTTAATTACACCAAATGCTTAACTTCAGCCTTTTCAGGAAGAGACTTTTCAATGACTATCACAGTGAGAGCAATCACAACAAGTCTACTTTCTGTACACACATCCCTCTCCAAAAATGAATGGTTTGTTACCATGAAGAAATCAATTATGTCTTTGTTTAATTTGATTAAGTACACTGTGAGGATTAAATTTAAATACAGTGTGAAAGTCCAATAAAAAAAATATTTTTCCATAGTGGAAGTATGGTATTAACATTATTGATATGGCATCTTGCTGTACTAGACAGACAATAAGGATATTATACACACAGAATTTGGTAAATTGACCCTACTGGCTTGCACAGAAAAGTGGATTTCAGACTCTGAATCATGGAGCTATTTTTAAAAATTCTATCTAGTAAAATTCTGTCTATTTTTTTTCCAATTTCATTGGCAAAAGCCAATTTAAAAGCCTTTTCTTTCAAAACAGACTATATGATATTTCACTGAAGGGATCTGAGTGCTGGAACTTTGCCTGCTGAGGTTAAAAGTACTGAACAAGCTTTTACAGTAACATGCCCGTGCCTGGCTGGCTTTGGTTTATTCATCCAGGATGAAGGAGGCTTGCTCAGAAGTAAGTGGCAGCAGGAGGACCACCTGAATCAAAAACCTGGTTTTCACACTTTGAAGGGAAAG